GGGAGGGAGGGAGGGGGGTAGGCTTATTTACTGCTTTTATCAGCCTTCCCCTTACCACTAGGTTAGCATAATGGTCAGCCTCTTGACCTATTATTTGTATCTGGTGAGGCATGAAATCCACACTATTCAACAAACCCCAATACTCACGTGAGCAGAATCTGTTGGAGATCCAGCGCACCTGCTGTTTGGCATACTGGCGGGTCACCAGCTTCAGGTTCTCTGTTCCTGCAAGCCAAAATGTAAAATGGTAAAGGTTTAACACACCCTATCAAAACTATTAGCACACTATATTATTTAAGAGGCGGGACCTCCAAGTTTTAACGTCAATCACTGTAACTGAAAGGACTGGGGGAAAAATAGAAAATTAATATTAAGTTCGTTTCCCATGGACACAATGTCGGACTGAGCTGAAGCACAAACCCCCAAATCCACAATTTTATGATTATGGGTCCAGTGGCCTAACCTTTAGGCTACTAATGCCACCTCCTGCATGCGAAAACAGAATACATCATAGCCAATAAAAAAAAAATAGCAATCCCTGAATGACTAAGAAACAACACCTGTTACGCATTTGGTTGTAGTATGCAGGAGACTAGAGTTCAATTCTCCGTGGAAAATCGTTTTAACCCTATTCGTACGCTCTGGGGTCATTTTGTACCCCCGGGGTTGTATTCTTCACATTTTAGAATACTTCTAGCACGCAGATCTCTTAGAAACTTTCAGTATTTCTCAACAAATCATTTTGACAGACTGCTATGCAAAGCGTACGGGTCGGATTAACGAGTAAATTTCCTCTTTGGAAAGTAGGGGCACAGAGTTTTACGATAGCAAAACACAACATACGGATAGGGTTAAGACGCATTTCTGAAATCTCAGTCTTTATGCTAGGATGTCGTATCCTCCCAGCCCAGGTTGGATGACAGGCAGAGTTCGAGTCCTGACTCCTTATACTTATTGATCTAGATAGTGTCAATGGGAGTGTAAAATGACAAACAAATACAAGAACACCCCCACCCCCACCCCCCCGAAAGAAAGGAAGGAAGCAAGAAAGAAACCCTTTTCCTTCACTCACCCTCCTTCAACAGTTTCTTCCCTTCTTCCGTCTCCCTTTCCTCAGCATTAAGCTGTAAGTACTTGTGGAACTCTTTGAAGCCAATGTTCTGGAGGAAGCCGTGCGGGTACACATGACCCTCGTCTTTCTCTCTGCAAACAGAAATTGCAAGCACAAAGTCAGTTTCATCGAGACCAAGAACGAAAGAAAAAAATGTACAACCCTTTCTTTTACTATATTATTATTATAATTATTTAATTATTGCCATCATTATTATTATCATTTCCTTCTCCTTTTAAAAGAAAAAGGAAAAAATGTCCTTCCTTCAGGTGTTAACCATCAGATACAAAAATGTCCTCACAAGAATACCGAATGATTATTGGGGATTTACTGTATGAGTAAAACAACAGTTGATGACAGCTCCGGCCAAAATAAGGATGAGGATTATAAGCTGACGAAAAGTTAATAAATTAAACAAACCCACAATCAATAAATATACATGAAAAATTCACATTCAAATAGCGACATAGAACGCTTTAAAAAAAAAAAACCAATGGGGCTGGAGGGAGAGAAGAAGGCGCTGGGATGAGCACTGGGCTCTCATAATAAATTTTAGACCAGACAACACAGTTTTAACTTGTACGACGGCTAGAAGACGAAGCTTTCCAACTCGTAAAGAATAATCCAGGGGAAGCAATCGTCTAGTAAAACCAAACAAGACGTCCCAATAAATGAGTTCTCTCCCCTTGACCGTTACCTACACGATTGCTGGCATCACTGTTTTTCCAATTGATTTGTCATCTCAATTTGATCTAGATTGATTGAGTAGGTGTTTTACGGCACTATCGACTCAATTTTGGTCATGTAAGTGCCTCTCAATGAGAGAGAGGGTCCTTTATAATACAATATGTCTATCTAACAACCCATTATGACTTCAATAATTCTAAGTATAGACCATAAAGAATAACTAAATCATATTTATATTTACGATAGCAAAACACAACGGATAGGGTTAACATGCATTTCTGAATTCTGATAGACATACTATATTATATGAGGAGTCAGGACAGGACTCGAACCCTGCCTATCATTCAACCTGGGCTTGGAGGGATACGACATCCTAACATAGTTCCATTATACTGGTACATGAGGCAAATTGAAACTATTCATTGAGAACTTGCAAAGGCCAGTCAGTAACCTTTTCAACAAAATTGTAAGCTCTGAGGTAATATTCTATTCACTGTTCCTTCCTCAGTTTCGACGTGTGTTTTTAACCAACCAATGACTTTAAAGAGCCTTTCGCAACCCCAGAATTTCATTCAAACAATAGTAGGAGACAGACAGACAGGCAGACAGACAGACAGACAGACAGTAGGGAAGGGCGGAGAGATGGGGAGAGGGAGAGGGAGAGAGGGGGAGAGAGAGAGGGGGGGAGGGGACTTTAGCGTGTCCACGTACTGTCGGAAGAGAGAGAAAGAGAGATAGAGGGATATAGATAGATAGATAGAGAGAGAGAGAGAG